TGAGACACATCTAGGTTGTTTCTAGGTTCTGGCTATTACAAGTATTGCTGCTATCAACATAGTTGAATGAATGCCTTTGTAGTATGATTGAGCATCTTTTGGGTATATTCCCAAGAGTGGTATTGCTGGATCCTGAGGTAGGTTGATTCTCAATTTTCTGAGAAACTACCACACTGATTTCCAAAGTGGTTGTACAAGTTTGCATTCCCACCAGCAATGGATGAATGTTCCCCTCCACAACCTCTCCAGCATAAGCTAACATTGGTGTTTCTTATCTTAGCCATTCTGATAGGTATAAGATGGTATCTCAAAGTTGTTTTGATTTGCATTTCCCTGATAGCTAAGGAAGTTAAAAACATGGCCTTAAGTATCTTTTGGCCATTTGAGATTCTTCTGTTGAGAAATCTCTGTTGAGTTCTGTACCCCATTTTCAACTGGGATAGTTAGAATTTTGATGTCTAATTTCTTGAATCCTTTATATATTTTGGAGATTAGTCCTTTGTCTGATGTGGAATTGGTGAAAATCTTTTCCCATTCAGTAGGCTGCTTTTTTGTCTTATTGACTGTGTCCTTTGCTTTACAAAAGCTTCTCAGTTTCAGGAGGTCCCATTTATTTATTTTCTGTGCTATTGGTGTTATATTTAGGAAGTGGTCTCCTGTGCCCATGCATTGTAGGCTACTTCCCATTTTCTCTTCTATCAGGTTCAGTGTGGTTGGATTTATATTGAGGTCTTTAATCCATTTGGACTTGAGTTTTGTGCACGGTGATGGATATGGATCTATTTTTATTCTTCTACAGGTTGACATCCAGTTATGCCAGCACCATTTGCTGAAGATGCTGTCTTTTTTCCATTGTATGATTTTAGCCTCTTTGCCAAAAGTCAGGTGTTCATAGGTGTGTAGATTAATTGATTCAATTCTATTGGTCAACTTCTCTGTTTTTATGCCAGTACCAAGCTGTTTACATTACTGTAGCTCTGTAATAGAGCTTGATGTCAGTGATGGTGACGCCTTTGGAAGTTCTTTATTGTATAGGATTGTTGTGGCTATCCTGGATTTTTGGTTTTCCATATGAAGCTGATTATTGTGTTTTGAAGGTCTGTGAAGAATTGTGCTGGGTGCAGTCTCAGTGAAACAAAGAAACTCCTGCAGCAGCTGCACTCACCACTTTGTCCCCAGACCCTCAGCCCCGAAGCAGGCTGAGTTGGGGGATCCTATGACGCCATTGATAAAGGCGCTGGGACTTGTTTTTACTGCATGTACTGGTTTTTTTAGGGGATCCTAGTCTATATGAATGCACAGCTTCCTAGGCCTGGATGTGGGAGGAGGGCCTTGGACTTCCCACAGGGCAGGGTTCTCTGCCCTCTCTTAAGGTGGGAGGGGGAGGGAGGATGATAAGTGGGGGAGTGGGAGGAGAATGGAAGAAGGGGAGGAAGTGTAAATTTTTGAGTGGAAAAATAAAAAAATAAAAGAATTGTGCTGGGATTTTGATGGGGATCGCATTGAATCTATAGATTGCTTTTGGTAGGATTGTCATTTTACTATGTTGAGCCTACTTATTAAAGAGCATGGGAGATCTTTCCATTTTCTGGTATCTTCTTCAATTTTTTTCAAAGACTTAAAGTTTTTGTTGAATAAGTCTTTCACTTTTTTGGTTAGTGTCACCCGAACATATTTTATGTTATTTATGGCTATTGTGAAAGTTGATGTTTCTCTGTTTTCTCTCTCAGCTTCTTCATCATTTGTGTATAGGAGGGCTATATGAGTTGATATTGTATCCTGCCACATCACTGAAAGTATTTATCAGCTGTAGAAATTCTCTGGCAGAGTTTTTGGGGTCACTGTTGTACACTATCATATGTAAAGTGCGTTCCCTTTGTCTTCCGGCTGCTGGATGTGGTTCCGGCTACCTGTTCGTGCAGAGGACTGTGATCTGCGAGTCTACCCCTAAATAATTAACCCTTTATTATACGCAATTCTGAACTAGTGTGGGATTTCTTTTTAGCATGGCCCATGTGGATCCAAACTCCACACCTACTGGGTAGATCAGTTTCAAAGGCCCAAATGGTCCACAGCCCAGAAGGTCTCTCACCCCTGCCGGCTTGGCTTGCTTTCACCTACTAAGCAGGGTTTTTTTTTAAAAAAAAAA